AAGGTTAATCCCGCAGCTGCAAAGTGTATTGTCTCTTTTCCGGGAAAATACAGCGAAGAGTGGGATGAAGCTGTAGCTGTTACGGACCAGCAGGGCATCTGCTCCCTTGCCTGCGTCTTTCTGACTGATGCTGCGTCGGGTTTGGGGCAGCATGCGGAAAACCCGGAAACTCCGGGTAATTGTTATTGCAAGTCTCTCTATGGTAGTGTGCCTGTCGAAGCATACCTGAGCGAAGCAGATGTCTCGTCCTCAGTTGACCTGCAATTCAAAAGATCTGATTCCGAGGCTATGGGTCAGCTATTGTTGATCAAGTACCCCCACACAACACACATTGAGTGGCGGGAAAAGCAGGCTGAGGCCACGGAGAAAGCTTTACAGCTTTGGCAGCAAAGCCAGGGCCGAGCCCCGTGGGGCTGCCGTTGGTTTGAGCTTTGGAAGGAACGTGTTGATGAAGCTGTGAAGCTGAATCAGACACTTCACGTGTTTTACTTCAAAGGGCGGGTGGGGGCTGGAAAGCTTTCCTGGGACCAGCTTGGCCACGACGAGGCCAGAAAGAATGCTCGTGTGGGTGGAGGTCTTGGCAACTCACAGACAGCCGAAGTTGCATATCTAGACAAGTTGGGCTTGCCGTATGTTGAGCATGATGTCTCGGAGTTCAGTTCATTCATCGCACAAATTCGCACCGAGTCAGGGCGAGCTGATGACCAGCCCGAGTTGACTACATTAATGATATGACTGTTTTTACAGTATAGTAAGATATGGTAGAGCAGCACTGCAGCAATACATCTCATGTTCGAACACCTTGTAGAATCGCCCGTGAGGGACACAAGGCGTTGACATGCGGGCCACGCAGCGGATTGCTTTTCCAGCGGCCGAAGGCCCCGGGCTTTCCCACTCCATGGCTCCGAAAGACTTTTGTTATACCTCGGTGCGTGTAGAAAACGGCATGGCGTATTTCATGCGCAGAGGCCTAGCAGTTCCACTTATATCAGGGCCAGAGACGTAGTAGTGTTTGGCTCAGCTACTACCACTGGTGGCTGGCGACTCGTACGAGTCACTGTTGTACTTAACCACAACTGCCTGTGCTGGCTCCAGAACAACCTAAACCCCAAACACCTATACTCTACACCCTTAAACTCTGCTCTCGCCGTCTCTCCACGAATCACAAGATGCCAGGATATGAGGGGCT